AATATCGTACCCCGGATAGGAATTTTCTTGGTCTTTTTTATCTTTAGCAGCGTTATTATCATTTAGCTTTTTATCCCAATGATCACCGTCAGTGGCACGATCGGGGTCTGTTGCTCTACTTATCCGGTCTTCCTCATCCTGCACATTACTGCTTCGGGCGGCAAGCTACTTGATTGCTTCAAATATTTGCAATTTCATTATTTTGCTGATTGATTGGAATTCGTTACGATTTTTGATGCCTTTGGCAATTCATTGACCTTAAACGCATTTATTTGATCTAACTTAGTGTAACGATTCCATTGTTTCGTCTGCTCGATTGTAGTGCCTACGGTCTTCTCTCGGGGCTTACACCAATTGGTTATGACCACCTCACTGTGAAGGCACACTACTTTCTCTCTTCCTGGCGCCAGTAAGCTATGAATTCATCCATATAGTATTTGTTGGTGTCTTACCGTTCTCTGTGACACCATTGAGTGGCTTCACCTATTTTAGGGGGAAATTCGATCACTCTTTGTGTGAGGAGTTTCGAACGCTTCCAGCTCACTCCTCTGCCGGTAGTGGAATCTATACTGCTACAGCCTTTGCCCACTTTTTCAAAGGGAATTTGGAAGCGGCTAAACAATGTTAGTTGGATTTTTATGCTCCCTTATGAACAAGTCATGGGTTTTAGAACGATACTTTGGAGTTATTTTACTATCCTATTCTAATCTCTGTGTTTTCGTTTAGTTATTTGACAGTTTGATTACAGATATCGAATGTTCGTAGTCATTGCGTAGCGATTTAAGTTTTTGACCTTGAGTGGAAAGTACTGACGTCTTGGTAACACAGAATTAACGTGTTTGTATGCATACCACATGGATCAGAGTCAACTCTCTCTTTTAGCCCTTCAAAAAGCCTATCAAGCAGCTGGCATAAAAGCTACTTCCGGCGATCTATGCTGTGTAACGCCAGCTCTTTTGCATGCCATGTTTCCATTAGAGGCAGGGGAACTGTGGGAGGAATCAATTCCTCCTCCAATGGATCCTCTTCGACGTCTCGTAATCGCTGAAAGTCTACACGCGAAGTCTCCTCTCCTAACTCTCCACCACTTGAACGCCTTTCTCAGCCATCCATCCTACGGTTATGAGTACATTTTGTTCCAGGTGGGTTGCATGCTCATTTATCGCTTATCGGGAATCTTCTCCTTCGATCTGTTTAACATCTCTGGACGCATGAGGCCAAATGAGCAGTAGCTCAAGATTCCTATTTTTACTCTTCAACGACCCAATATAGTCTAACTGAGCCAGTTGGTATATCATTTGTTTTATTTTTAGTGTACTTTAAGCTGTATTTATCGAGTTAGAAACCTAGACGCTTCATCCATCTACCTTAGATGATCTTAATTTGGTCTCCGGCCTTCACTTTTAGTTCCATAATTCATCGACTGCTGAGGGTGTTAGACATTTGCTTGATGTGAGCAAGACATGGGCTCTCCTGCGACCCGATTTAGAGCCCGTCTGGACCCTGTTGGCGGCAACTCTACGTCTTTACTCTGGACTACAGGGTGTCAAGAAAAAGACCAAGACGGCTGCGCGGGAGGGTGCAGTTACGTCTCTCTTCTCTGCTTTTGCTGTCTGCTCGCCTAGCCCTACCTCTGAGGTATTCGGTGAAATTATTGTTTGCCTTTTCATTGAACTGTATTGCTGTAAAGGTGATTTTGGCATGTCTTGATGGATCGATTCGATGTAAACCAAGCCGAACTGATTTGCAGGGAGGCACCATGGTGAGGTCTTCTTACGCAAGCAGTTTTTTTTTGTTTATAGATCTTGACACAAGAACTTGTTCATTTCGTGAACAGTACAACTCCAAGTGACCGAATTCCTCTGAAATCTCTGAAACCATTTGTGTTAAGATGCGCTCTATTCTTCCCAAACATCTGTAGAGTTACCGAGCCTCTTTGCTGTGTCTAGCGAATTTTGTATTTATTTTCTTCAATGTAAATTCATAAATGCTCACTTTTTTTATGGTCTTACCAATGGTTTGCGGTCATATATCAACTAGCGTTCCGTATGCTTAGTTAGCGCTTATGAGGCTTTAAGGCGATCCTCAAGCACTTCAAGTCCTGCCTGCTGACGGCTGTTTGGAATGTTCTCTGACTGCAGTAGGCGCTGTTACCTGTGTAATTAGATCCAACTGAAACGTCTTGGTGTCCCATATGGTATTTAAAGTCGCCGTAAAAAACCTGAAGGAGGTCGTGGCTTCTCGCTATGTGAAATAGAATCTCCTAACCCGTTGATAATAATGCTTTCAAAGAGTGCGAACTTCATTGAGCCAAATGTTTGTCTCGTTTTTAGTTACGTTAAGGCTCTGCGACTCTGACTGGTGCAAAGTTTGTAGCATTGCAGTTAAAACTCATAAAACAGTCAATGTATTGTAGTGTCCCGAGACTTCATATTAGATAGAAGACATGCATTCTAGCCTGAGCATGGTCCGAAGGCCAGCCCAGGTGTACAAGGGCCAGCGAAATCTTACAGTAACCGCCCGGTCGCGTGGACCGAGCATTACGTCAATGGATGTGCGAAAGCGAAAAATAGCACAACATACACGCACACAAGGTTCAACTAGTGCAAAAAAGATGTGGAAATCTTGTACTTTGGTAAAGTCGGTGCAGAACCATCAAAGATTTCATTCCGGATTCAAAGCGGCACAGAGAGTTGGCGTGCCACCACTCTACTTTATGAACAAGGCAAAAGAAAAATAGGCCATCATGATATACATTTAAGCGAAATATAGAAGTGAGCAGCTATGTTTGCAATCATAGAGCATGCAATGCAGAATTCAATTAATAAGTGCAAATAAGGAAAAATAGTACTCACAAATGTGAAATACATGCCACACAAGGAAGAACATAGACTGTTTGAAAAATTCGAATGTGTCGTGGCTAAATTCTCAAACCAACCTTGTCTAATATGAAATATAGTCCCTCTGGAAAATGAGCCTAATAACAGAAATACAGGAATGTAAAAGAACATACGAATCAACATTAGAAAACGAGCAATTATTATGGTAGGAGTGCAGCATCGTACAACTACGAATGCAATGTGGTGCTAAATTTGCACTGAACCAAATGCATTCCGGTAACAATACCAAACTAAGGGACAATATTTAGATTGCAAAGAAAAATTGAACAAATTGTTATGAAACCCTTCATTTGAACAAGAATAAGCTAATCAGGGCAAATTTATAAAAGAACTCTGAGAAGAATCACAAGACCTAACAAGAAATAGGTAGGCCAATTTAATGAGACATAGGACATCACTTTGAAGGAATAAGAGTCACGGTGGTAACAGCAGCATTCAGTGAATGGCCTTTACGGGTTTTGAAGTCTTTTGGAGCGTTTCCAATATGGTTCTTTCAGGAAGGGTGGAAGTCACTGTTACGATATTTTTCGTTACATCTGTGTGTACAGAAGAAACATCGTTCCCAAGCTGCGACAAAACTCGCTTCACTGCATTCGCGCACCCTTCGCATGCCATTTCGATCTCAAAATTGTAGGTCTGTGTAAATACGCAAAAGAAACAAGAGAAAAACTATCGTTTTGTTGCTTCTAGCCGCTGCAAAATGCGCTGATTCCTTAATAATCAAAAACATGAAATAAAATATGAAATGGCAATGTATAACATCAACTCAACATTTCAGGAAACCACATAGAACCAAACACGACTCACTTGAGGGACCATCCGATACGACAAACAACCTTGAAGAAAAATAAGCAAGTGGTTTAAAATAACTATCTCGCATACCTTGTCAGCTTTACTAACAATCAAGTGTTTTTATCAGTTTCGATTTTTACTTACTTGCTTAAAGTTGTAAGATTTTAAGTATTCTTTAAAGTGATAAGAAGCTTTAATTAAGAAGAATGGACACGTATTAACAATGTGAGGCTAGGGTTGTGGCTCATAACCTGACAAAAATCTGAAAATACCTATTGCTGTACTTGGTTTATGCAATCATATTGCATCGGACGGTCACTTTGGTATTCCTCTGGTCGTTGTACTCGTAGGCTGGCCCTGGGTTCATGCTCAGAATACATATACGCAGCTGCAATTAATGCCTTCTTCTAATCAGTGGGAAGTACCAAAACACTGCAGATGTCGTCGTGTTGCTAAGCCTGCTTTCGAGCATCACAAATGCGGCATTCACGGGCTTTCTTGGAAGTGATTTTAAGGCTTTGTTTAAGTGAATACCTAACGTTCGGCGGTCACTTTAGGAGTTGTCTGGGTCTTGTGCTCGTGGTCTGGACCTCGGGCCATGCTCAGGCTCATTTGCTCTATTTTCTTAAAATACTTACACTTAGCTTCACCTACTGCCTTCTTTTACCGTATGAGAAGTCTCGGGATGCTATAGCGATCGATGTAGAGTCCTGAGGCCTCCAATAGGGTGACCGCCAAACGTCAGGTAGTCACATAAACAAAGCATCACACTGTCCCTCTCTTCTTTCGAGCGACGTCCTCAGCGCTGCCCTTTGATACACCTTCCGCGCGAGTTACCGCAATATATGCGTACTACAAGAAAAAACCCACGATCCAATTGCGCCAGTCGGCAGACAACACGAGACTGAGGAGTTATGTTCGGTCTGATAACCAGATTGAAGGTCGCATACACCTATTGACCATCAATTGTTTCCGGGAATAGATGGTGGAACTCTGGCCTAAAGCATATATTTTACAGGGCAAACGGGATATGTCACTGTCCCTTATGTAAGGAGAACAGTGGTGTCATTTCCGATGCAAAAACATGGATTTTGTATGGGAAACTCCGACACGAAACTTTTCCAAGTATTTTGCAGTGATCCCGCTTCAATTGCTAATAGCTTGTTTGTGGGATACGGGAATAAGTTGAGAGCAAATGCGGACGTCAAGTTAAGTCTTTTGTTGTGGAGGTATCAGGGATCCTCCGCCACAAAGGTAAATGCGCCTCCTTTAATTCATGTTCCCTTTCCGCCTTATCTTCATCATTTGCATTTCGATAGAGCCGTACTTTCTTCTACGCATGCATAACTCATGATTGCCGGTGCACAATGCCAAAAGGGGCTTATTAATCTTGGATTTCCCCACTAAAATTAGATTTCCTTTGGAGTTTTGTCTGCTAGTTGGACAACAAACGTCTTGCCGTGAATTGAGAGGCTTCGACTTTTCAGCCAAGGGAACCCGATTTTGGGGTATCTGCAAGTATTAACCAACCCATCATCCGATCGAACCATTGCTTGTCGGCCTGTTCATTCTGTTCTTTTGCGGAAATCAGTCGATTAATTGGCAAAGCTTAGCAACGCAAACGTAGATTGTCAGTAAGGCAGCGGAGTCTGTTGAACAAAAGGTCGTACGAACACTATTTTGCTTTTAACAAACAACCAACGAAGAACAAGACGCAGACGCAGCAGGTCTTCAAAAGCACTTTATACCTAAAATTTGTTATAGAAATGTCGGATTTGCTTTCCGCTGCTACCAGTATAGCGCCCCGAGGCTTCCCATAGGGTGGAAGAAAACATAAGTGAGATTGAGTCCATATATTCTGAAGACGACGAGGCAAATGGGGCCTGAACGTGGCTCGAAGGCCAGCCCACGCGTACGGTGGCTGAACAAATTCTAAAGTGACGGCCGAATGTCAGATAGTCACATGAACAAAACATTATAATCGAAATCCTCGTAACTAGGGTAGAATTCCCTCATTTTGCAAAAGGAAGTGGTGGTAGATTCGGCTTAGGTCACGATTAAGTCTATCTTATTTAGGTGATTTGATCAAATGCGTTGTTATGGTTGCATC